AAAAGTAAACATATTATTTTGTAACTTATTTTTATTTAACATAAATTATTGTTTTTAAAATAAATTCTTGTTGCTGTGCCATACTAAAATAAAATATAAATATTTTAATAGTAGTTCTAACTTGAATACATTATTGTTAAATAAATAATTATTTTATAATTGATTAGTGTTGACTCAACTCATTCTATGTTTAATTGACTTAATACGTTATTTCTAGGTTAAAATCATCATATAGTTATCATATAGTTTTCATATTTTTATTGAAATTTTGATTGGATTCTCAAATTTTAATTAGTCTCAATTGTAATAAATAAACTCAATTTGTTAACGGTGTATAAATGGTTAATCAAGGTGTACAATAGACACAGTAGTGTGAATTATTTTATTATATAGAGTTGGGGATTATTTTATTATATAGAATTAGTTAATTACATATCTTTGTTAGTATAAGAAATAGAGATTTGGTGTACAGTGGTCATGGTTAATTAGGAATTTCAAAACGGATAAAACAGATGAACACAATCAGCTAAAGATTTTGAAACTGTATGAAAGAAATTTCAAAACTAACCTAACAGAAAAACGGAAGACCAAGTTGGAGAAAAAGACAACTGATAATTAGTGTTTATCGGTGATTTGATTGATGAGTGGTATGTGGTTTTTTGTTTTGGATAAGGATGCTTTAATAATATTTTTTATAATATTTTAATATTATTTATATGTCATTACAATTTATATTAATGTTTATAATTATTATTAATAATTGTAAACTAATTTTAAATCATGACATATAAATAATATTAAAATATTGTTAAAAAATTTTAAATTATTATTATCTTTTATTTTAAGGATGAAAAAATAAATTTTACTACTTTGAGTTTTTATTTGCAATGTATTGCAGTCCCTGTTTCATTTTAAAATGTGTAGACGGTGATGGCTTAATTCTTTGTCGACTTTTATGGTAGTCTTGCTTTGAACTAGTGGCTGGACAAACATTGAGTTTCAATGATGGTACGGTACTGATTCAAATGCCAAAAGCACATGTTCTTGACTTTTGTTTTAGGAAAATATACTTCGACAACCAGTTTTGACAACATTTAGATACGGGACACGTGTGTAAATGTGAGCGGTCCACGTTTTTAATGAAAAAGCTGCCGAAATCTGACGTGGCAAGGGGCGGGCAAGTTTAGAAGTTTAGTTTGAAATTTGAAATTCATTTCGAACATTGTAGAGAGAGAACCGCGAACATTGGGAGGGAGGCTGTGACCTAGACAGAGAGAGGCCGAGAGAGTTGGAGAAAGGGAGTTCGAGAGAGAGAGGTCCGACGGAGTGCTTGTCGGGGTGCCGCCGGACAACGTTGAAGGCCGTGTCGGAGCTATTCAACCCCTCCAGCCGGTTCCGATTCACGGCCGCCGCAGCTCCGACGTTGGCCAACGAAGCTAAGACGGCATCGTCTTCCGTCCGGCCCAGCGAACTAGGGGCGCG